AAAATAGGGAGTAACTTATCAATCGCCCTCTAGAGTCTTTCTTTTATAGGAAAAGTTTTGAAAAATGTAAAAAGAAAAGCGTAATAAAATTAATTCATATAATGGAAAAATAAATAAAACGAAACAAATGATGGAAGTGTAAACATTCATATTTATTCCTGAAGTTTAACAAAAAATTTGGTATAATAGTTGGATTGACTGTTATCTATTGACTGTCATCTTCACNATCATAACTGACATAGGTTTTAGAGGAAATATTAGTCGAATGGGAGCCCAGAACCAAATTACCATAATTTGCTAATTTCTTTTGACCATAACGATTTTAATCAGCTGTGTTCGCGCTTCTGAAAAAGAACGATGGTTTTAACTTTTATCTTAATATTTAGTCGTATCTTATAGCTGACATCTGTAGCAACTGCTTCACTTGCATCGAGTTCGATTGAAGATTATGAGTGGCTCATATGACTGAAGCGTACCCTTCGCATTTTTCTGGGAATGAATATGTTAATTACAGTCAATAAATTTATTGATTTTAATCAAAGATGATTTTTGTTTGATGCAAACAAGAATAGTTCAAATGGGGTACAAATTGTGTACCTCTGAGGTACAAATTTTTTGGAGGTACAAATCGTTCAAATGGGGTACTGTACCTCAAAAAGGGGTACGGATGGCAGCCCTGTTGAGGGGAATGGTGAGCGTCTATAAAAATGATCAAAGTAGATTTAAATATACGCTTTTCATGTTCGAAAAACGTTTCTTCTGCACTTGTAATTATTTTGAAGGATAAGTGTTGGCTAGAAGTAATATGCTACATTACACCATCGTGCTGATATAAACAAGTAGCGTTCGTCGTGCCGACTCACTTCACCCTCGACTGTGGAAGACAGATATACTGTCTGCGTGTGCTATTGACGAGGCGAATCGATCTAGCAACTTTACGTACGATGAAACGGTACAACCTTTTCTGTTCCACTATTTATTAACTCTCGCAAAAAAAATAGTTTATTGTCTTTGTAAAACAAATGTGAGGATATAAAAGGTCTTTTTTATTCTGAATTTATTACCAGTAATGCTGGTCGTGTACTCTCGCTGAACGCTTGGCTGATTTTCTTCCCATTGTACTCTTGTCATTAGAACTATACAAAAGATGTATCAACCCACTTATCTCGCAGTCATTCGTCGGCGTCCCTTTAGTCCGTCACTCCCGACTGCTCAATATTACCCATAGCATGTACACTTTGTCAAATGGCAGGCGCCTTTCTTCTCCACCCTTCACATACAATTTAACTGCCTCAACATAATCAGTATAAACAAAACTTCCAGCTGCAACTTGTCTTTCCTTTATTGGTCGTTATCAGATACTGACAACCCGCCTTATCGAGTCGGCCACATAAGAAATGCATCTAAGACGCTCAATGCATGATTCATGTATCCTAGACATCTAATTTCCCAGTCTAACATCGCGCGATAGCTATCGATCCACTTTATGATTTGCGACAATTATCAATCAGCCTCATCTGTCTCCGCGGGCTAATCGTGAAGTTTCTGTCATTTCTTGCCTTCAATCATGACACAGATAGACACCATTCAAACTACTTTTTCTCAAGAGACCATGTGGCTAGTCTTCGTCCATGTTCCCAGTACAGTATTCGCTTAGCTAAATTATCGAGTTAGTAAATTCTTAGTTGAGGCCTCAAGCCATATCTCGACGCTATAAATATGCTCTTCCGTCGATCATTGGTTCGATCGCAAAAGACTACTCTTCAAATGGCAAATATTCCAAGAAAAATGTTTTTTGACCTTTCACTCTTGGCCTTTGACCCTCGCCCACGTTTTGCCACAAACAAACAAACTATTTTATTTCATATGACCCTCCTTACAGTCGAGGGAATAAAAAAGTATTA